TAAAACATTTTCATGCCTTAGGCAAAGAGTGATATCGACAAAAAATATCAATGCATTTTATATCGTATGCATTCCTCCACATCCTTTGCAGCTATTTGTATTTGCTTTTCAATATATATATATATATATATATATATATATATATATATATATATATATATATGTATATATAGTATATAGATATATATACATGTACATGTCAAAAAATATCCTCTTCTAAAAATATTGTTAAATTTTACTGTAAATATTTATTTCAATGTTACTACGTGTGGCATTGTAAAATAAAGAAAAAAAAATAAAACTCTTTCAATTGTTGGATTAATATTATTATTAATCATCAACTTTAATAACAAAATTTCAAAAATGTGTAAATGTTGAATATTTAAACATATTAGATTTTTATTTGTAAACCTTCCGACTGCCGAATTCGCTAAAAGCTAGGTTGTGAACGATTCAAAATATATTGGTGTACGCAAAGTTATTTGTAGAAATACCAATCAAGCAGAAATGGATAGTTCAATTTTATCACAAATTATCGGCTATTCGATATTTATGTTATCTCGCTTTCAAGAGACATGATAATCGCATTCACGCTACGACAATCACAATGGAGTAACACTCAATAGACACACCTTGATTAATGGAGATGGCAATTTTCATTTACAATCGGCCATATTCGAGTCGAAAAGTCGAGCCAGAGACAGATTAATTAACGGGTGTTAATGAATGAAACACATCAATCGTTGCTTTCACCACTGTACAATGCAGCACGGCAGTGCGCCAGATAATCTAAATCGGATTCTAATAATTCATCAAAAATGTATTTTTAATTTTCCTCAAAACTATCATCAAAACGAAACAAATAGCAAATTAATATATATCGACAATAGCATTACATGCAAGTTTTATGTATATATATCTATAAATTTTTTTAATAGAACATTTTTAGGAAAAGAAGCAAAAAGACCGAAAAATGTGTTTCTTCCATAGTAAAAAACTTTTGTTAATTGTTTAAATCTTTGAGATAAAAATTACGATAACAATATATATATTATTAATTGACTTCACAAAAAGACTAAAAAGAATTATAGGTGTAACCGGTACGAACTTGGTAGAGAGATCAAAAACAACCTATTCTCCAGAGCTGTTTCTTAGTTACAGGAGTTACGTGGCCCGAAGATCTCGGGCACGGACCAATTACACCACTGAATAATTGTCCGAAGTTACGAGTTGCGCCGTTAACAAGTAACGTCGGAGTGCTAACGCGGTTCCGGTTTCTTGGCCCGAATAATTCCGCCGGACTCTGTCGAGAACTTCGCACAGTCGTAAACAGAGCCCGAAGAACACTTACTTTTGTCGTGTCTCTCTATAGCTCAACGAGCAGTTTAGAAAAATAAACGTACCATAAAATAAAGTGAGATCGCTGCAGCAGATAATTTTATACAAAGGCGGAAAAAAATTACTGAATAATTGATCTAAAAAGATAGTGCGATAATAAATATGCAATAAAAGTCACATGAACGAAAGCACGTAAGCATTACTCCTTATGTATTACGTGAAGGAAAATGATGATGCTAAAATTAATGTAGAAAGAGAAAAGATATACATTATCCATAATATTTCAAATAAGTAGTAATTAAAAAGTAGTAATTAATTAAAGAATAATGTCTGGCAACGTCTAAATAAAAGAAGCAAAAAAATTAAACCGCGCTAATATTAAATATTTAATTAAACGTCTCTTTTGATCTCGACTGAGCGTGCTTAATTATCGAAAAATTATGGAAAAACCTATCGTAGGATCAGAATTTTAAAAAAGCGAATAACAAATCAGTGATGATGAAAAACTGTTGAATAGAAGGATTTAATATTGCTGAAATTAATAAAATCCATTTTTCTAATGTCACAATATATTACGTCGATATTTTGCTTGACAGTAAGAAAAAATAATAATAAGAACACATATGCATCAACTTCAAAAGATAAGCGGCACGAAAGTGAGTACTTTCTACTGCAATTTAAACGTAAAATACCTTTTACTATACTAGCGCCTTGCGATATTGATTTTACAGTCGTGAATGTATGTCGAGGTAAAATTTTTACGTCTTTTAAATTACAAGAGTAATAAGGTTTTGTTGTACTATTTCTACACCTAAAATTTATTTAACAGACTTCTAGATAATTGCATCATTTATAATTTAATATCTACACATGTAATTGCTGGGATTCATGTAATATTTATATGTACCTCTCTCTCGGTTTCTTAAATATATTAAATTTAACATTTATATATTTATATATAGTAACGAGAGACGGACTTTTATTTAAAAAATCAATTTTTCTTAACAAATCCGTTAATATAATTGATTAAGTTGGTCTCGAAGTTGGTCCATAATAATACCTGTGAAATACGGTGTCAATATGACACGAAATGCTTCATCATCTCTCATTAGTCTTAACGGGGCATTCAATTTTGAAATCACTCTTCTAACAAAAGCACAGACTTCTGACCAATGTCATCGAGCGAGTGACGACTACTAGGCGGGTGGTAGGTCAAAGGATCGCGCGTTCGAGATCATGATTTACCGAGTAATCCCCGACGAGCCTCATTACAGTTTGCCTTTGAGTTTCTCCGACCAATCGGGACTTTATCACACAGGCGTCATCGTTACAACAACGTGGCGTGCCAATCGATCCGGCCGATATCGCGCGAACTTAAGCTGCAACGTGGAAGCTTCCGGGTAAACTTTCCTGCGATTAAGACCGGTAATGTACGAAATTGCGGCGAGATAGCTGTGCAGCAGCAGCTCCCTCCCGCCCCTTTCCACCGCCGAGCTTTTCGACAGGATTTCGACGCGAGGGGCCCGCGTTTATCATCGATCGCGTTACTTCCACATCGACGCTAACCAAGTGACGTCGCGTCGTGTCGCCGAATTAACACCGGCGTTTCGCCTTTTGCCAAATTACGCGGCAAATTTGCAATTATCGATATCCCATTAAAACGCGCAGTTTTGTTTAATCGGCCGACGCAACCAGCAACGCCAGAGAAAAGCTGAAATTGGCATGTGCAACGTTGGCCAAAATATTGTACTTCAAAATGAAGTGAAAAGCCTAATTGTGGTTTATGCCAAATTTGTGCCAAATTGTTGCCAAACGGGGAGGAGAAATATAGCGGCGCCTTACTTTAACATTTCTGCGTATAATACATTTGAAATTGATATATCGACCGAAATGCCGCGGAAATTAATTGCCACCGCGTTTTGTTATTTAACGGTATGGGGAGCACAGTATCCCACGAGTTATATATTCGAGTCGCGAATAGAACTGAAATGAAAAATCGGAAGCAAATCACGGTTTACGATAAATCATATCGCGTTACTGAAATTTCCCTATTCTAGCACATTTGACAATTAACGGCGACGCGTGATGGAAAAAACTCCGAGAGCAGCCAGCTCTCGGCGTAAATTCTCGTACATATATTGATCGATACTTGCTGAATATTAGCAAATTCCTGTTCGCAATATCCAATGCCGCTTACAAAAATTGTTACAAGTTTAATCTCAATCGACAATTTAACACGGAAAATCCTAAAATGTAACTCTCGACGATCATGTCAAACTTTAGACTATAGTATCGACCCTGACCTCCGTTCTTCATAGGCGTGTTACGGCATGGAAGATTTGTCGGTTTATCGCTACTGACCGTAAAATCCTGATCACGTCTATTACCGGTTCGTGACCGGCAATCGAATGTCACTCTGTCAGTCAATTGTATCGATATAAAAAAAAAACAAGTGAAAGAGGTAAAAACGAGGGATATCACCAGGAGTATCAACAAAGCGTCAAATCGAATCCGCGTCGTTCGGTCTAATAAAATTGACCGGCCGCCAATTTCGCGCGCTCTTTAACGAACAAGCGAACGGAAACGTTCCGACGCGACTAATAAATTCCGCACGATGCCCGGTGCCCTCCCTAAATCCCGGCGATTTGTATTCCGTTTTTCGAGCGGTAACGACGGTATTATTTGTGTCACGGTATTATTGGTGGGATCACGTTCCGAGAGCACGCACAATCAACAAAACGCTATTTATTGCACATTGCGCGAAAAATATAGAAAGCAGGTGTCACAGTAGCTCTGCGCGAGTCAGACGAGTAAATATTCTTTTCGCGTAAATTTTCCATTACGCGTGTGAAAAACGAATTACGAATTAATAAATAATTGGAAACCAAAATAAAGAAATTAAATTGTGTTATGCAATATAAATTTAAAATGTTACTAGTTGAAAACATTTATTTTGCTGTGATAAATGATAAACGAAATGGAGTTTATCATGTATTCGTAAAGGAATATATAAAGAGAGTCTCTTTCGCGATAAAAAAAATATACGATCAAAAGGTAAAGAACGTGGTTCGGCAAGGAAAGCCGCATAGCTCGATCTTCGTCGCGAAAATCCGATTCTTTCGCGCCGGATGTTTCGCGAACTTGGTGGAAAACATAATTGGAAGGAGGACAATCCTGAGCACGTGTCCTTGTCCTCCGACAAGTAAGGTGCTGGAGGACTATTACAGTAGGTCGATAATCCAATTTCGTGTGAAGCGAAACGATCGCGGAAGCCGTAAACGTACGTCGCCGGAAATTCGTACGCGGAAGAGAACGAAAGGGGATTTCCCACCCCCTCCCCCAAGCCTCACCTCCTCCCGCTCCCTTTCTGCCCTTACGAATCGTCTTGGAGTGTATCCTTCGCGTAAGACTCCGCGAAGGAATTTTATACGATCCACCACACACACGATGACGTGTAACGTCGAAAATGCAAACAACTTTTTGCCGCTCTTGAAAAATCACGCCCTTCGTGCTCCTCGAATTAACGCGGAACGACACCTCGGAAAAACATTCGGTCCCTCTCTTTTTCTTTTTACCCCCTTTCCCGTCACCGTGACGAAGACGGAGAAAAATGGAGCAGCGCGAAATTGCGATCTCGCCATGTGACCTCGAGAAATATTTACCTGGTGGCTCGCGCTCCTCGTCTCGACTCCTGTCGGCCTTTAATTAACGAGCTTCGATCCTCACGGTCTCGTTCAGTCGTACGTTTCGCCCGCACTATACAGAGCGAAAATTGAATTCCAATCGATAGCGGGCCCTCTTGCCTATGTGCGACAAGAACCGAAATCGTATACTATTAGCAAAACTGCCGATCTTGTCTGTGATACTCGTCGAGTCGCATCGCGTCGCAGTCGGATCGGGCGAACTAATGTCCGCTTGTACTACTTGCTAGGCCGCGTGACGGTGCCGTGTACTCGCGTACCGGGAGACGGCATATTTTTTTTCCCCGGCCAGCGAAACAATGCAGGCCGTCGGAAAACGATGGCTATCGCGGGCGACTATCGATCCCACGCGCTCGTAAAGCTCGCGAGACTCGCGCGGCACTATATTATATTTCTCACACAACGGAGATGATATGTTGCTCGCTTGTAAAGAGAGAGAGCAGCGACTCGTGGATATGTTGCGAATACGTTTGCCGAACGATCACCCCCGTCTCGCGTCGTCGGCGTAGGACGTCACTGATCCGCTCCACTTCCTAACTCCTCGGTGATGTCTCGCCGGAATTTCTTGAATCAACGATACGTTTCCCGAATGATATCGTCGCGGAAGAATTTTACCAATACGATACGTGACGAATCTTGGTGGATCGTCATATACGCCGCTTCACTGATATTTCACTGATATGTTTTCACGGATGACTCGTCACGTACTGCGTCCTAGACTTGCTGACCGGGAGCTTGCTTAATCTCGTACGTGACGGAGCTTATTGTTAGTGGATCGCGATGAGCAGTTTTTCTATTCCTCTTGGGTCAACGATATGTTCTCCGTGAAAGCTTGCCAATTGTCTGCTTCCTGATAAACCCAGATAAATTGCTTTGTCCTAATCTTTCATAGTACTTCTTCAAATCATCGATATGTTATTGGCGAAGAATCAAATGTCGCTCGAGATATTGAGAAGAATTGTATTATTTCGATACCTGGCAAGTCTCGGCGGTGCCTAATGCACGAATTCCGGTACTTCTTACATCGGCGTAAGTAATTTAAGAGAGCCTCGCGAAAACATTCACGTTCGGCACAGACGTTCGATCGACTACGTTCACCGGCCGGGTCCTCGGAGATATTTTCGAGCACCGCTCGACGAGCGGAACATCGCGCGCGCACTACACATTCACTTCCTCGAATCCCACTTCATGCACTATTTACCCGACAAGTTCCGGAGTCAGGTCATCATCCGTCCGCGATAATCGCCCGTTTCGCAGACGGAGAAACATCCTTATGCTCGCGAACGGTGCTCGCTCACCCGTCAGGATCTACGATCCACCTCAGGACGGAGCACTCAGAGGCTTCTTCATCTCTCGAGGGAAACGAACTCCCGGCTCGCGAACGTCCGGACGACCGCGACGTGAGACGGCACAGAACGACGGAACCGGGGGTGGAACGTCCTCGACGTTCGGTCGACGCGCCGGTATGTCGCGAGTACGCGCCGGATGCACCGAAGGGCGGACGAACGAGAAAAAGAGAGACAGAGGGAGAGAGAAAAAGAGGGAGGAACGTCAGCGCGAAGGCTCGGCACGCGAGTTCGCCGGCCGACTGAAGCACGGTTCGGCTGTCAGTCGACCCCGCACCCGAAACTCGACTCGTCTTCGTCGAACGAGTCCGCCGTCTCCGTCGGCTCTCCCTCGGGGACAAGGGGCGGCTCGGGGGTCGCAGAGGGTGGGACGAGGACGAGTGCGGCGCGCCTGCGCCAGGTGAATCGGCCCGACGATGGTATTCCGTTGCACTCGCTACCTGCCACTCGGTACTCTCTCGTTCTACGATGCACAGCCGAGGCGCGACGAGAACGAAAGGACTGATATCGAGACGACATCGATAAATTGATTCGAAAGCATACAGAGCGTTTTCTTTCATCTAAGAAGGATTATTGCAACTGATGACACTCGTTTCTCGATCATTATCGACATCCGTTAACTGTGGCGCGTTCCATAATACTATGCGATCGAGTTATATAACGAGTTATGTAATATTATTTATATCTAAACTGTAATATCGCTAAATCAATTGATAAATGAGTGTCAGAAAAGTTGGTATTATATATATTTTCGAATAACGTTTCTTCAATCAAAAAATTAAAACTGTTGAGAGATCGGTTTCTTAATCAAGTTCTTCACTTGTATTCTCTGGTAATATTCAATCGCACAGTTCATCGAATGGATTAGTGGATCAACAATAACGGATTCCTAGCGTTGAATTTAGAACTTATCGGATTTTAAAATTTTCTCTCAATATATCCATGCTGTTTCTAGCGAGATACTCTGATATTTTCTCGACAGGAAATATAGAATAGTAAATTGCGTAAAACAGCCGAGCTAATTCAATAAAGTAATGTAATGCAAATCAATTTCTAATAAAGATCTAACAATATCATTTCTACCGATTTCTACTAATATTAACTACTAATAATACAGATCAAAAATGCAACAAAATTATACCTACTGGATTTAGATTATCGAATCAATTATAGATAAATAAATATATGCAATTATCATTTTCTAATATCGCTATATAAATTAAAATCATATTATAAATATGCAACGAGAGTTACATTATTCATATTATAATATGATTTATAATATGAGCTGTAATGAGAGTTTAATTTATTTGATATTTTAATTCATTTTATTTAATTCATTTTATATTGATCAGTTAAATGAATAATTAATATATCCCAGGTTAGAAAAGATAAGATCTTTTTAAATATAAAATTATCACGTCGAAACGGCTATACTTATACCAGAGCATAATTAAATTGCTTAAATGATTGTCACGATTATATTCAACACACGATTTTTGTCGTTATATTTGTGAAAAATCGTAAATTCCATTACTATCGAGGGAGAAACAAAAAACTTCACCTTCTCGATATTCAATTATATTGTCAATCAGCGTGTCTGCACTAATATGTGCATAGCTCAATACAAATCAATTTCAGAGCGGCAGCCTTATGCCTTTGTATGCCCGACGGACTTCGCTCTAATGAGATTTTATCTGCGCACGGAGATTCCTGTAATCCATATTACAGAAGTACAAACATCCATGAGAATTATAGCTGGCACGCATACTACCCCAATCGATATTTCGAATACAACCGCTCGCCTGGTGATGAAATATACGAGCTTATACGATAAAAAGTTGTCACAGTCCGTCTTATCTTATTCGGCACTAACGTAGTATAAGTCGTTGTCGATTAATGAACGTCAGCCGCGATTAATCAGTCGGTTCGTTATTCTCGACCGTATTCAACGATTTTCCACGGGTAACCCGCAGAATCTCGATCCCGACACCGCTCGCTGGCCCGTTTTCTCGTCCCTCTCTCTAAATCCACCTCTGTGCACCGACGATTCGATGTGGGAAATCAATCACCCCGAAACCACTTCCGGCGAACTTCGAAGGCACGTCTCGCCGCGCCGTCGGAGTCGAGATTCCTCGAGATGATCGCGCGTTCGTGGTTCGTTCCGTTTCCGCTGATGGACAGACATTGGCGAGGACGATATACCAGGGAGAGATATTTCGGAATGCGATTTTCCCCGTTCCACAAAGCGGATTTTGGACCCCCGTCCGAGCGCCCGATCGACTTGTTTCGTTAATTTTCCCGATCCGATTGACTCCACCGCGAACCGACAGCTCGCATTTGCATTACGTAGATTTTACATTTAAGGATCGAATCAAATTAAATCCGATTTATTTCATGCGGTTGTGGTCCATTCATTATTTTTAACCACTTAAATCTCGATATTTCCCTTCTCCTTTTACTTTTATCGTTCTTGTAATTGTTTTGTTATGATTTTTGGTCTTTTTTTTTTTAAAGAACAGTATGATATGTAACGCCATAAAGCGAATAACCCAATTGCATATCTAGTGCTTCCAGCGAATAATCGAGTATATAAATCGACACGGTTATTGCCCCAACCGATTCAGTTCCCGGCCAAAGCAGTTCTCATTATTGCTGATTCAGCAATTTCATTAGTTTTCGTAGTTCGCTCATCGTACCTCGGAGTAATAAGCCCGAATTAGAGTATCGAATTTTACGATGCGCAGCTCTGACGCATAGTAAGTAAAATAGAAAATGGTAACTGAAAAGGAACAAAATACCCAAATGACGCAGCATAATTCACACGTTCACCGAACGAGATAAAATATTTCTTAAATATTATTCGTCACATTTTATATATTTTACAATTTCTTAGTTTTTGTAAAATATTGCAAAACTCTCAAAACCTCTTTCGCTTTATTTCGGAAAAAGAATAGGGAGATGATAAAACGAAAGAAAAACAGAAAGATGTCCGCAGATGGACACTCAATTGCGACAGCCGCTCAAAATCCCTTCCCCGTCTAACGCGATCACGGACAATAACAATAATCGAGATAACGCACGCAGCGGCACTCCGCGAGATCCGTTTAGTCCCCAGCCAAATTGCCAATATTATCAGTTATCGGATTATTACGGCAAATTGTTCGCGTTTGCCTTTACCAACTAGCCTACATACTGCGACCCCCTATGGCGACCCGACGTCCTCAATCTCTCTGTCCTCTCTCGCGCCCTCCTCCCTTGCCCGCCGCCGTTTCTCGTGCTCTATCAGAATCCGTTCAATCCGTCTCTCTCCTACGTAACCAATGGAACCGACATTCTGAATGCTGCAACCAGGTGCGACCAGACCGTTCACATTAAGCGTCATAGATAGTTTCACGGCGAAATGGCACGGATAGAGCAGCGTTGAAAGGGGACGAAAATACATTTCGCTAATTCCTAGTTTTGTTTGTGTTGTAATGTCGATGGCATTTCATCAGCGACATCTTCAAATACTCATGAATGTATTTCATTGCGTCAGATTGCTAACAAGCTGACTAGACTAAAGATTGGTGAAATTCCTAATTGTTAGTCGCTGAAACTTTTCGCATAGTTTGTAATTTGATGAATAGTCCAGTCATTTGGTCGTAAAAGAAGAGGTTACCTGGAAAGTTTTCCGGGAGTTTTGAAAATTGGTAATTTTATATATTTCGATGTGTTCTTTCCGAATTTCAACTTTGCCACCTCGTATCTTTGCCGCTCGTGCCGCCATATTGGAAAAATGACGCCTAAAAGCAGTTTTTTGACAATATCTCCTTTCCGACTCATTCCACGATAAAAACATTGATATACAAAATAAAACTGGAGAAAATTTCCTACAATTTATGTAATAACCTTTTTTCCGTAAAATTAATAGTTTTGGCGTACGAGCGCTGTAAAGTGTAGTTCAACACGCGTTTTGGCTTAAAAACTCATTTCCACACTACCTTGAGGTAGACTAGGTAGAGTAAGCGGCGCGTTTTTTTTACCGTGGTATCCCCAGTAGGCCTAGTCCACATGCAATTCACTATTCTAAAATTTAGCGCATTCTTCTTCGCTTCGCTGTTCTTGATGGACCAGGTGTTGCGAGTTCATCGTCATTAGTACTGATCGAAACGTCACAGACCGAAATTTCTTTCACATCATCCGCGATGGGATTATCATTTTCATCGCAATCCTCTTCGTTCTTGATTTTATCATACGTTTGCTCGAAAATAGTCTCCGTTTCTTCTTCTTCGTCGCTATCTTGTGATGGAACTTGCGAGTTATCACAGGTACCACTACAATTCGTGCATATAACGGAGCACTAAATAAATAAATAAAAAAGATGTCAAAAAAGATGTCAAAAAGCCTGTGAATGCAGAAAGGCTGGGTTAAAGTGCTCAGTTATATGCACGAATTGTAGTGGTACCTGTGATAATTAACTCGCAAGTTCCATCACAAGATAGCGACGAAGAGGAAGAAACGGAGACTATTTTCGAGCAAACGTATGATGAAATCGAGAATAAAGAGGATTGCGATGAAACTGATAATCCCATCGCGGATGATGTGGAAGAAATTTCGGTCTGTGACGTTTCGATCAGTACTAATGACGATGAACTCGCAACACCTGGTCCATCAAGAACAGCGAAGCGAAGAAGAATGCGCTAAATTTTAGAATAATGAATTGCATGTAGACTAGGCCTACTGGGGATACCACGGTAAAAAAAACGCGCCGCTTACTCTACCTCAAGGTGGTGTGGAAATGAGTTTTTAGGCCAAAACGCGTGTTGAACTACACTTTGCGGCGCTCGTATGCCAAAACTATTAATTTTACGAAAAAAAAGGTTATTACATAAATTGTAGGAAATTTTCTCTAGTTTTATTTTGTATATAAATGTTTTTATCGTGGAATGAGTCGGAAAGGAGATATTGTCAAAAAACTGCTTTTAGGCGCCATTTTTCCAATATAGCGGCGCGAGCGGCAAAGATACGAGGTGGCAAAGTTGAAATTCGGAAAGAGCACATCGAAATATATAAAATTACCAATTTTCAAAACTCCCGGAAAACTTTCCAGGTAAAACTACCAAATGACTGGACTAGAAGGCTATCGCAACAAAGAGGAACAAATATCTGTTTCTACAGTTGTTCCTTAGTTGAAGGGATTGACGATAGTTTTCACATTCTCCGCACGTACGGATGCATAACTATAGGTAACTCTCGAATAACACGATTAATTG